CCCCGTCAGTTGCTGCTGACTCTGGAGCATAATAGTTAGTAATGTTAGTAGTGGAGCGGTTCCGATACGAAACCGGAGAATTGCTAGTTGCGGTCCGAACACCTCGATTTATTTGACGAAATGCTCGATTCGATCAAGAGCTAGGGATCTGAAGCGGCTGAAGTGTTTTGCATAAATTTGTTTGGAATCTAGCTCTGCATTTTCTTGCATACACTAAATATGTAAATAAGCCACCACACTGAGAACAATTCCCTCTGATAGAATAACTTTTGGAAATAATTTATCCTCTTATCAGTGCAATCAACAACTGATGTGTCAATAATAGAGAGAATGAGTAGACTATGCAAAACGAATTGTTCTAAAGAGCAATTTAAATGCATTTTGTTTTAGATGGAATTCAGTTCCTATTTTCTTCCCTTCAGTAGGCCAAAAATACCGTTGGTGACGTCTTGAAAAGCGTTAGTCACCGGATCTGGAAAGTGTTATGAAATTCGCTACACATCCAAGAGTTTTCTGATTAGAAAACCACTAACTAGAATAGCTGTAGGAAAATCCCAAGAGGCCAAAGTTGTTATAGCCGCGAAACTTAAATTCAGATAGAGCTGAGCATTCTCTAGTTATGAATGCAAGAATGACGACCGTCAGCGCAAAGAAGTAGTTCATTCCTATAAGTAGCAAATTTAAAATTCGTGTTCAATAAATGACCTCCTGAAGTGATATGGATTGAAAGTTCTGAAATGGTTCACATAAGAGATAGCTTCACTCGGAAGGAAGGAACTCGTATGTCAAAAACTGAGCAAAAGCAATCATGTTCTCCGTTTCCCTTCATGACTACCCGTTTGAGACTGTTTGCTTATTATTAGAACGGGAATTCGAAGCCTTCAATACTCGGAAAAATCCCTAATATATCAGTGTAAAATAGGGCAACCCTTATAGCTCAGCATTGAGTCCTGAACGATGTGAGCGCTGCTTAAGACAAAATGCACCGGGAAGAAGGAACATCCCCTCTTTTATGCAAAAGTGCATACTGGTTGACCGCGATTGAGACCAGAAAAATTCCAAACAGGTTTCTCGGAATTGTAGCATCGTTTAGTCTATTGCTTGCCGCATTATCCTTGTCGATTTTGATCCTAATGGTTTTCTCCAATTTAGTGAAAAACCTCTAGTATTTGAATGTGTGATGAACTTCATCTGATCTTGGCTTTCTTGGGTTCGCTAACATCATGAGCTATTATATAATAATATTATAAATATTAGGTTGATGCATAATTATTGCGGATTATTTCAACTAATTTTACTTAGAAAACGATAAGAATACCTTGCAAAGACATGTTCAAATGAATGCTGCGGGACGTATCCACCATCTACGTGAAGCACTGCTTCCCATTTGCTAGCCGGTCGGATTCCACAAGCGAAGAAGTTTCGATTCTTGGAGGCGACCCGCACTTTGATACCGACCATCAAGTCACCCATTTCGTCGTAAGCGCTGTTCGCTAGCCAATTATTCAACGAACGACCGACGTGATAATCCATATAGGAGTTCCCGTCGGTGAGTATGTCAGATGTAGAAGCAGATCTAGTTCCTTTCTTGGCTTTGGGTGACTGTTCCATCGTCGAAAAGTTCGTGAGATCGCAAAATGACACCTCCGCCTTCTAACCTCTCTCGAAGTAGTAGTACTGTGAAGAATATGAAGATGACGTTCTAGCGCATTTTTGTTGAGGAAATCAAAAAGATTACTTCTATAAAACCCCCAATTAAATATTCAAATTGTATTGAGAGAAAAGAAGCCGTGAAAAAGTCCGCAATAATTATGCGTCAATCTAATATGAACCTTCACTCGGCAATTTTTTCAGACAGTTTTGAGTCCTTTTTTTGTCAAAGGGAGTTTATTTATTTATTTTTTTTATTGAAGACGCTGCATAAGGCAAACGTGGGAGACAATCTGAAGTTGGTGCTATGGTATCTAAATTATTTTGCTCACCTCTCCTCGTCCTAATTGATTAACTGACCTCCGAATTTGTTAGGCTCACTCATGCCAAAGTCTGCTTTTCAACTCACAATTGAAAGCCAATAAATAAAGACCAATCCCTCGACGTTGATGAATTTCAATTTCGCGAAGCTCATTCGACTTCTGTTCAGAATCGCAGTGGGGTTTTGAATGAATATGTTGCCTATACAGTGATTTGTGATGGCCGGCCGACGTACACGTCAAAGCTTTCATTTTCCCAGACACATATTACGCCACTTAACCGACCCTGGTGAAACGAAAGGCTTACATGGAGACATGTGGCCAAATAACGACTGGAGAATATGTGGCCAGAGAAGAGGAAAACTTGAGACGACGTCTGCTGCAATTTTTTTCCTCGGAGGTATTAATAACAACACACAACAGAAGGCTCCGACGTTTACTGTAAGAGTCAAGCGTCCTTGTCTGTCTGCCTTTCACAAAATTCGATATTACCTGAAGAAACAATTGTAGAGGTCGGATTACGTTGGAAACAGGTTGAGCATATGGTAGGGACAACAGAACACATGTAAGCTTAGTGGAGCTACTCCTTCAGGGACGGTAAATGCGTCGGAGGTGGGCCGCACCATGGGCAAGACGTCTTAGATGTGTTACATGACTGCGCAGCCGCCGGGAAAGGATAAGAAAAGGTGAACGATTAGTCAGCAAATGAAATGAAGTAGACCCAGGGGCGAAGGTAGTATTTTCCTTGCAAGTTCTCGCGTTGGGTAGTATTTTCCTCACAGGTTTATAATATTGAGTTGTCGGAAAAGTAATTGCGCATTTTGGTTTCCATGTTGTGAAATCTTCGGGGATGGCTCTAGAGCCTTCACTGCGGAATATGTGTAGTTGGAGGTCAATGCGCTCTCCACACCATATCTGCCGTAGCATTTCGCAACGGTTATGGCTGCAAGAATCGCTCTCGACACAAAGCAAGTCAGACTGCCTCTAATTTATGAGTTCAGAAAAAAACGTTAACTCAAATTGAGCGACAGGGGAAATATGCGATCCAATAAGACCATCTATTGTCGCTAATAGTGCAACAAGAAGTTGGTACAACAAGTTCAAAAATGGCCACTTTGACTAGACCGAAAAAACACTGTCTGGGAGACCAATTGACCTGAATGACGACCACCTCCTGGAACTGATTGAAGAGGATTCCAGGTGTAGTACCCGTCAGCTGAAACAGGAGCTCATAGCCATCATGACATAGCAGCTGGCCATTTGCATCGCCTCAGAAAGACATGGAGATTCGGAGA